CTCACTAAAGAAAGAATTCAAAGGAATCCTCCCATCTGTGCCGAACCGGTCTCCATCTCTGCCAACTCAACTTCCAAAGAGTGGAAAAAAAAAAAACTTCCCGTCTCTGCTTGTGCTGTGGAGCTATCACCATCTGCCCTGTCCAGTCAAACTCCAGGGTCCGTCACTAGATGTGAGGAGGATGGCAGACCACCTCCAAGATAAATAAATTTCCTCGTTTATTTCTATCAGCAACTTTGCTTAATGAGAACCAATCCATTCCTTTGTCTGTGCTTATTGATTTGGGTTGTCAAAAAAATATGATTGACTCCTCTTTTGTCCAGCAGATGTCGCTTGAGACAATTCCTCTAGCGGTTCCCCTTCGCATTTCTGCCTTAGATGGAAAGGCTCTACCCAAGATCGCCCATAAAACTTAGCCCATTAACCTAATCATCTCAGGCAATCACAGAGAACACATTTCATTTTTTGTCTTTCCATCATCAAACTCTCCCATAATCTTGCATTGAATCCTGGTCCACTCACTGTCATTCTTGTCTCCACTCAGTAGTTCCCCCAGGTGCTCCACTGGCAGACCACTAAGCAACAGACCTACCCAACCTATCTTCCATTCCCACAGAGTTCCAGTATTTGTCTCCTGTGTTTTGCAAAACCAAGGGCCTCTCGTTACCACCTCACTGCCCTTACGATTGTGCCATAGACCTTCTTCCCTGAGCACCATTACCCACCAGCTGGTTATAAAAAATTTCTTGACCCAAATGCGAGATTATGGAGATACATTAAAAAGTCCTTAGCTGCAGGTATTATCCACCCGCATCCTGAAGGTGACGTCCTTTTCACCCCTGGGAGCAGGGTTTTTCTTTCTTTTCTTTGTAGAGAAAAAGGACGGGTCACTCAGACCCTACATTGACTGTCATGGGTTAAACCAGACAACTGTAAAGAACAAATATCCTTTGCCCCTCCTGTTATTTCCATTTGAACCGGTTCATGATACTGCTGTTTTCACAAAACTAGATCTCAGAAATGCTTACCACCTCCTTCAGATCCATCAAGGTGCCAAATTCTCCCATCAGACATTTCTAATATTTAGTTATGCCATTCAGATTATCTAACACTTCAGCATTCTTTCAGGCACTGGTAAACGACGTACTCAGAGACTTTCTGAAAGTTTTTGTGTTTGTTTATGTAAACGACATCTTGATTTACTCAAAGTCCTTTGCTGAGAATAATCAGCTTTTACTTACAGTCCCTCGGACCTGACTAAGGAAAGGAGATCGGGCTTTTTCTGTTGTTGCTCCTAATTTATGGAACAATTTGCCTTTTCAGATTAGATCTGCTAGCAGCCTGGATCATTTTAAATCGGTTCTCAAAACTCATTTTTATTCGTTGGCTTTTAACTGAAGCAATATTTCAGTTTTTATCTATTTGTGCTACTGTCGTTTCTGTGCAGCACTTTGGTGGAGTTTTATACCTGTTTTAAAGTGCTATATAACTAAATTTGACATTGACATTGACAATAAGCGTCATGTCCGTCTGGTTCTACAATGTTTCCTAGAAAATCGGGAGTCAAAGCTGAGAAATGTGTATTCCACAAGTCATCTGTCTCCTTTCTCGACTTCATCCTTAGGGACGGGCAGGTAAGGCCAACGAAGGAATAGATCAAGGCTGTGGTGGAGTGGCCCACCCAAGAGACGAAGAAGCAATAACAGAGGTTTCTCAGGTTTGCAAACTTCTTTCGCCACTTCACCCATAAATACAGCCAGACTGCCTTACCATTGACCACTCTAACGTGTACTAAAACAGTTTTCAGTTGGACCTTGGAGGCTGACGCAGTCTTCAAGAAGTTAAAGTCCCTGATCTCCAACGCACCTGTGGTAATTCAACCAGATCCAACCAAATAATTCATAGTAGAGGTTGGTGCTTCAGATACTGGAGTTGGAGCCATTCTGACCCAAGTTTCTGAGCTTGATAACAAAACTCACCCTTGTGCCTTTTTCTCCGGCAGATTATCTCTACCAGTGCACAACTATAACGTAGGGAATCTAGTTGCTCCCGACCAGGGAGGGTGCAGAATATCCCTTGCTGGTCTGGATGGGTCACAAGAATCGTTTATACCTTCAATCTGCTAAAAAAACTGCAACCCCGACAGTCCCACTGGTTATTGTTCTTTTCCACGTTCAATCTTTCCATTTCATATCGTCCAGGTTCCAGATGCTCTATCCCACTTCCATTAACCCGACGACTCCAAGAAGTCCCAGCCACTATTCTGCCTCTTAGCTGCACTATCGGTGCTGTCTCTTGGGAAATTGAGGACCTCATCAAACAAGCTCAACAATCCGATACGGCTCCTGAAGCATGTCCGACCAACCAGATCTATGTCCCCTCCGCTGTCTGTGCCCGGTTCGTACATTGGATTAATTCATCAAAATTCTCCACACACCCAAGTATTAGTCGAACTATCGCTCTCGTAAATCCTAAGTTTTGGTGGCCATCTATTCATAAAGATGTAAAGGAATATGTCTCAGCCTGCTCAGTCTGCTCTCGAAACAAATCATCATATCAACCTCCTTCTGGTCTGTTACAACCTTTTCCCATACCCAAACGTCCATAGTCGCACATAGCCATAGATTTTGTCACCGGATTACCCTCATAAAAAGGTATGACCACTATTCTCACTATTATTGACCGTTTTTTCTAAATTATGCCACCTTATTCCCTTTAGAAGAGTTCCTACTGCTTTTCAAATCCCTGCTCCTCATTTAACACATTTTTGGATTACACATTTTTGAATATCCTGTGGTACCCCACAGGATATTCTGCCAGACCACGGTCCACAATTCACTTCACAAGTCTGAAAATGTTTCTGTGCAGCTCCCAACACACTACCAACGGCTGCCTCCTTGGACGGACGTGCCTGCGTTCCAGTGCACCTGTGTTACATCACCCAATCGTCCAGAAGGTTAAAAGAATCAGACCACCTGCACTCCTTTGCCTGAGTGTTTTCCAGTATTCTGAGCCCTCCAGAGTTTACTTTGTGTTTTCTCCAAGAAGTTACTCCTTGTAGTCTTCTTTCTTGCCTTCCCGTTCTCAGATGCTTTCTTCATGTATTCTCCTCGTGAAGATCTTGTTCTGGCTTTCTGGATGTTCCCTCCTCATGAAGCCATGGACATTACTCACTGGTTGCCCGACTCCCACCTTCACCTCCTCTGTTGGATCACAAGCAGTTCCTGGGTCCTCCAGCTGTCAGTTGGACTTCTCTTCTGTCTTCCTCCACGCCTGAACTTAACTGTCCGCCCTCCACCACAGCCTCCACACTTCCACACAGGACCTCCTCAATCGAGCCTCTTTCTGGAACCCAGATCACCGCCTTAGCCTTCTCCAGGGAACAAAACCCCAAGTACTCAGTCAACCATCTCCCCGAAGAAATATTTCTTCATTACAAGTAAGACCAGTTCTGAACATTTTTGTTGCTCACATTTCCAACAGCCACAAACTCACCATCTCCTTTTGCTGTCCTTCAGAGTACTGAACACTCCGTGAACCAGTCCCAGGGATTATACTCACCCAACCTTTCTTGCCTTGCCATATTAATAAACATCCTCAAACTGATTCCTTTTCTCCTGTGGTGTTCTACATGTGGGATAGAAAACTGGAACCAAACATGACAGAACACTCAGGCCAACAGTTGAACCTCGCAGAAGCCATTAGGAGAACTTTATTTGAACAACATTTGTTAATTCAATCTCATGAATCCGCCCTTCAGGAGTTATGCACCCGACAAGCCGAGACCAACCGAAGATTAACTGAACTAACTTCTTACAGAATTCTGTTCAACATATCTAAGTCTGTCAGACTTAGATCTCTGGTTCAGATTTCTGTGGAAATGTTTTATTATGTCACATAAGGAACCTGCATAGTTGAGTTGTACCTTTGTGTAAGTTGTAGCTTTGACAATATTTTCCATATTCTCAAATCCAAAACTTGACAGGTAAGATTCCAGATAGCATGCAAAGGTAATTCAACGTTGAATTATTCTCAGAATAGTTGATTTTTAGTTGAGGTCGACAAATGACCTCAAATAATGATTGTATGATGGATCAGCCATCGAATTCTAGCAGAGTAAAAAATGTTGAAAAGATGTCATTGAATCAATGTTGTTTTGTGTTTTAAATCTAATGAATGAAATGCCAAAATCTGACCGTCTGATCAACGTTGAATCAATGAATGCTGTTTGTTGCACACTTTTCCTCCTCTCCTCTTCTGAGCTCTGGGTGAGAGCATTTTATTATTGAGCGGGAGTTATCACATTTTAAATTAACCACCGTTCAGTCTAGTGGGTTGTGATTCCTTTCTGTACATTGTCTTACTTGTCCATAAAAATTATTACCAACTGTTTGAGTGTGATATGTTGACACAAAACATCTACAAATAAGGAGTCAAATGATCCATTTACATAAGTGGGATGTCCCACCCACACAGGCACTTTGCTGTGAGGGTTGGACACAAGATATTTGCAAAGATATTAATTCATTGTTGGGGTTGGGAAGAACTGCTGATCAATTTTCAATCCAAGAATGCTTTTTGTTGCATCCCTCATCTACCCTCCCCTGTCCTCTCTTCCCCTACTCCCAACAAACTGACCCCTTTCTTTTCCCTTCCCCTCACACACTCCCCCCAGCCTTCCCCATTTTACTGCCCCTCCCTGTCCTCCACTCCCTTTCTCCCCTCCTCTCTGCTCCCCTCAACCTCCTTGAGCTCTAGGTCAGAACGTTTTATGCCTGGAATATGGGGGTTAATCATATTTTAAATTAAGCACTACATGTTGAGGACAATGGGTTTTGATTCCTTTCTGTACAATTTCTTACTTGTCTATAAATATTGTTACTGACTGTGCATAATGTGTTGACACAAAAACATCTAAAAGTCATTACAAGAAGTGGAATGCTCCACCTCCCCCTTTTTACACTAGTGGTTTGTCCCAACCAAACAGCCACTGTGCTGCTGTCTTGTCTGCAAACGGCTTCTGAATAGATTTCTCCTCTGAGCACTTTTGTGGTAACTTTGGCAATATTCCTTTCATCTAAAATGTGTTTATTGAAAAATGACTGCATTGTTTTGTGCCTATTGTAATCCTGTTTATTTTGGGGCAAACCAGATATTTTTAATAATTGAGGTCATGTCTCCCTTTTTATTTTTTTATCAGCTAGGGGTAAAGGATGACACACTAGGGAACGCACTCTTTTAGGGTGTAACTTAGATAGATGCTAACAAAGGAGATCAAAAACTCTACTGGGATGCAATTTTATCTGTTACCTCTTAACGGTGGCAGGTCATAATGAACCAGTTGTGTTTTGGTATTAATAAATGAAATTCATGAATTCACCTCACTGACTCTTCTTTAACTGTTGTGTGTTGTGGTAAAAAAGAATATCGTTGACTTTGCTGATATCTTGGTTTAATAATACCCATTAGCCGCAAGCATAAAGAGCAGTAACGTGTGGAAGCAAACCCAGGCATCAGAATGAATGACAACGCTTATCCCATGCACGCATGCGCAGAACCAGAACTACGATATCTGTAAAAGGCACAGTCAATACTCTACATTAATCCCATACATCAATAACTCAGCATGGAGAACGAATGATTCTCCACAGGGTCTATTGTTTGGTCTGTGAGAGCATGTGGTTGCAGCCGAGCTTCAAATTTGTTTAAATGATTTGTTTTTCATTATGATGTGCTTACTGACAAGCTTAGATATGCCTCTATTCCAGAACAGCTGAGTTAGATGATTGCATGATCTCTTCTGCAGCCATCAAGTCCTGGAAAAGGCTGTTAATCACTCACAGATTCAATCCAGTTGTGGCAGAAGGGAAACACCAAAAACATGTAAGGTAGATGAACCACTGATCTAAACCTACTAACCACTGATTCGGTCTGTTGATTCTTGGATTGGTACCTGGTTAAACTGAATTGGACTATTACTACTGGTGCAGGATCTTTATCAGCATATGAGCATTGTTGAATGAATTTAATTATCAACTTATTTGGAAATTTTTGTGGTTAATGGAAGATTGAACCAGTTCTTTGATGGAAGTTTATACGGTATACATGGTAAATAATTTTTCCAACTACAATACAAATCACATTTTGCACTATTTTTCTGTCTCTGGTGTGTTAAATCAACCCTGATTCTCCCAGAGTTTTAGCTTTAGAATTTCTGATGAACATCCCTTTATTTTAAATATTGATTCCCTTATTTAAGGACTAGGGTTAAATGCTACACAATGCTACAGCTTGATAGGTAAATGTAATCGTATATGTCGACTAACATTAAGATATTTATGAATATTCATTAGTGTGGCCTTATTAAATTAACTGAGTGTACATGGGGGAACAGTATGGTTTGTGTTTGTTCTCAGCTCTATAACCAGTACACCAGTTTAATATTTCAAAGTCTTTCAAAACTTTTCTAATGGGTATCATCTTTGTAACCAGTGCCTTCCTCTCTCTTATTTCTGTATTTTTCAGCTGCTGCTCAGCAGTTTGACCCAAAGCGAGAGTGAGGCATGAAGGAACCAACATGATGCCAACCAGAGTTCTTCCATGGACAATAGACCATGCTGTTCTGACCATCAAAAGGAGTCAAATATGTTTACAGATCTATCCCTGTTTCCTTAAATAAATGTTATATTAATGCCATATTTTTTAAGCTTGTACACACATTTTTGGAAATATGTTAATGTCAGATAATTATGAACAACATAATACCATCATCTCCCAATAAAATTGTGTGTTCAACATCAGTGAAGAAACGTATGTTATGATGTAGACCTAACAGACCAAAAAGTGTACATGAATCAATAGTTTTTCCTTTATTTTGACTCAATATAAAAGCAATGCAAATATGCATGCAGGTCTACATTCAGATGACTGTTAAATCAACATTGATATGGTGTCAGTTATTGTTGAAACTCTAACATTAATTTAGCATATGTCACTTTCAATTTCATTTCACTGTCAGGCTTCATTGTATATTCAATGTTTCTGACTGGCATTGTTTCATGTATATTGTGCTATCTAGGATAGCACCATGACATTGCCGTCTGGGCTTTTCTACATTATTTAAGCAGAAATTGTTTGGGTTATATGTATGCAAACGTGGCTGTTTGTTGGTTTTGGAGTTAATGTTGATTTAGAATTACTTTCTGTGAATACAAAACAAAGTGCTCAGAAAACGGTTGTTATCAAAATAAATGCTTGTCTTTTGTGATAGAGGTGCTAACTGCTTTGACTTTCAGTCATCCTGAAGTCAAGCCCCCACATCGCCCAGAAGATCTTTGTGGTCATGTCTCTCATGACAGGATCAGCCTGTCACTTCTAATTTACTACCCTAATTAGAATCAGAAAAATTGATGGCACACTGTATGATGAAGGAGTGGAAACAGACTGAAACTAGGGAACTAATTTTATGTGTCAGCATGACTTAAATCTCAGTTTCATAAAACACTTCTTTTACCTCTTAAATGAAACCATGGTCCTCTGTTACACTCCAATAAGAGCTTCAGGATTCAGGTGAGTTCCAATTTTGCCTTGAGACTCTTCAGCATGCAGCCTGAGGAAAACTAAGGGTGGCATTGAGTGCTAAAAAGACGCTTTTTCCTTCCAGAGCGACTGCCGCATGATCGGCTCCTGCTATGATCAGCCTGTGTCTACATGCCGATCTGAAACGAGCCCGGACTTGCAGAGCAAACAAATCTTTTGGGTGCCACTGGCTCACGTTCCTCTCTTGTTTTCTCCCCTCATGCTCTCTTTGTGGCAGGGAGATCCGCATGCTTGTAGAGACTGAGAACAGAGCTGACCAGCCTTTCAGTCCTGTGAACCACCCTGACCTGTCAGGGGGTTCAAACCCACTTACAACCGACAGAGGTAGAAATAGGTTCAAATAGTTGCTCTTGGTGAACAATAGTAAGGAAGTGAAAGGAGGTGAAAGGTTGTCTTGCAACACATGCAAGGTTGATAGGTTCATGATCCTGCACTGAAGATAGCAGTCATTGTTTGTGTTATTTGTTAAGACAGAAAAAAATTAAGGACATCTTCAAAGTGCCTTTGGAGTCTACCTGCCCAACAGTGACATTTGTAATTTTAGAGACGTATTTTAATCAAATTTGTACTTTGTGTCATTCATGACCAATTTTATGCAATTAAAATAGAATACGTTTTACTGCATAGTTTGGATAATCATACTTTTCTGCATGCTTGTTCATGACATAACGGATAACAACTGGTAAGCTGCTATGCAGAAAAGAAAAGCTTACACAAAAAACTACATGGTTTGAATGACTGGCAGAATGTTCTAGTCACTTTGGTTTAATAAACCCAAAAAAATTTTATATTTTTATTTTTCTGTTCTTCATTTCAAACAAAAAAACTAACTGCCTAGAAATACATGGACCATACACAGTCCCTTAACAAGAGAAACCACCACTGTCTGCACCATTAAACAAGGGCATTGTTATGCCCTTGTTTAACTTCAGATGACTGTAAAACATGTAACCGCTTCTTTAGACTTGCATTAATGGCAATACATTAATGGGAAACAACGCTCAACTGTGAAAACCGACAAAATAGCGACAATCAAGAAGTAACCAAACACACATAACACTTTCTGTTGTCCTGAACTATGTTTTTATGTGAGCTGTGATTTATCATAAGGCAGTAATTTGTAGAGGAATATAATTATATCAATAGTCAAAAGTTACATTGTTTGGCTGGTTTACACAAAGATATATTTTAACCTAAAAGAAATGTTCTGTGTCAAATGGACTGGGTCAATCTGACCTAGAAGTCAGGAATGAATTCAGATTTGGAGAGATGTGAAATAACAATCACTAAAGAGAGGAAAGATGTTAGTTTTAAGCTGTTGCGAAGGAACCGGGCCGGAGCCAAGACTGGGGAAAGAATCTCTGTTTGGAAAGATAAAGACCAAACAACCTGACTAACAGATCTTCTGATGGATTCCAGGAGGTCAAACCCAAATTCTCGGAATTACACATCCAGTGTAAAATGGAGCCAGAATTGCTACTCAATTTAAGTCCAGTAGTGCCATTGGTCAAAGCTTCCCAAAGCTAGATTTTGGATTTTTGTAATAATGTAAATGTAATGTTATGGTTGATGTGCATTAAAAATCTCTCCTTTGGTCCATGAGCAAATGAAGAATCAGAGTCCTATGTTTCTTAAATTAGCCCTCTTTAAATTCCTCCATAAATTCTGAAAGAATATGCACATAATCTGTTTAGATCTGTTAATAGATTCACATTTAAGTGTTAAGCAGTCAGTTTTTTAACAAACTGAAACTGATGGTTTAAAAGACATGCATGTGTGGTGCAGGGTGGCCATTTCCTGTGTGTCAAGGTGAAATTAGATAGAATTGCATGCATTCTAAATTAGTGTTTTGTAACACAACTTTCTGTATTTTGCTTATGAAGCCAAAGACCACTGCCATATTTTCTTTTTGTGGTTGCCCGCCACATATAAGTACATCCTGATTGTTGATCAAAAGTAAGAATCAAGACAGTTTTGTTTAGTCTGTCTTCACTAAAAATAAAATATACTGTCCATCAAGAACCCTAGTTAGTGTGTCCTGTGAGGCTAAATATTTCATAGTCCACATATGTAGCGTTTTATAAAAACTGAAGTTAACATAGTTACTTGATTGTGCTATAAAATGGCACGATGTGCCTGGAAAATACATAACAGTGCCGCTAAACTTGATATCAACCATTTCAAAACTTAGCCAAAACTAATTTTGGGCTAATTACAAATGTGTATACATTTGTAAACTTATCCACTTTGCTGCGATGAAGCCTGAGAGCAAACTGCCAGGTATTTTTGCCACAAAGCCCAAAACAGGGCTACATAACACAGAAACAAAAGGAGTAAAACATATGGAATTCTAATGGTCTTCGGAGATTTAATACACATTCTATATATATTTTAAATGTTTACCTTTATGGTGTCCAGGGCTAGTAAAAAAAAAAGACTACATGTGGCTCAGGTCCAATAACACCCACAGCTCTGAATGTGTTTCAGGACCTCCCACCCCACACCATGATACTCCCATCATTTTTCCACTGCCATAACCCTAACCCCTAACCCTAACCCAACTCTGGAATATGACAGGAACACCTTCCCTTATACACCATGCTTTCTGTGTCTCCTAAAAGGCTTGTTGCTAACTTTAACCAGAACCCTACATGGCTTCTCTAAACAAAGAAGAAGGAAACTACAATTTATGGTTGTAAGGCGGTAAAATGCTAAAAGATCAACAGGTGCTAATACTTTCTCCAAGACATTGTAATATTAAGGCTTTATCTTTGTGAGGTGGCCATGTTCAGGAAGTCATGGAACTTCCCTTTTCAGTTTTCTGAGCAACAATTGTGCCAGATGTTTTGTTTTTTTCAGTTTATATAAGTTAAACATCAGCCCAGCTCAGAATTGTCTCCACTTTGTAATAAGGAGCAGGGGACAGAAAAGCAGGTTGTCTTCTTTTCATCCTCTGCTCTGTTCATATAGAAAGAGAGAAAACAGAAAGAAGAAAAGTAATAATAATAAAAAGATAAGCGCCCCTGTTTCTATTTCATATTCGTGTTATTTATTTATTTGACTAAATTAATATGTATTCTTTTCTTATATTTGGTACTTGAAGATAATATGCTTTTATGTTTCTATGTTTCTTTTTAAGTGGATTTCTTGCAGAAAGCAAAGTACGTTTTTTATTCAACAAAAATGTGTTTTTTCTGTGCTTATGAGAAATAAATGTTAAACTTGAACTTGACCACACTCATTAATTATTTAAAGGGTGTGACACTGAAGTTAGATTGTTTATTTTCCTCAAGATCAGCCCATTGATTTTCTTACCTTGCTTTTCTTGACCTACAAGCTGCAATAGACATAAAATTTACTAAGCTGTTTGTGCAAGAACTCAATCATTTCTGGCCAATGCTTCCACCCAAATGGGCAAAGTTTTATTGCATTACTTGTTAAAGAGAATTTCCATGTTAAATAGCCAGAAATCAAAAACAGTAGAACAGCGGTGGAAAATGCAATCTCTGAGCTAATAAATTAAATAAATCATTTCTGAGGATGTTTTGCCCTGAGCAGCAAGAGAAGGTATTCAAGAACCTGTACTGAAACTCATCTGCTGAACATTACCTCCACCCTCACACATGTTGGGGCTTGTGCAGTTTCTACAATAGGAAACAGAGTATAAAAATGAGGTCAATGCACACTACACACACAGGCACCCACACACATGTTTGTGTGACTATCTTTGTGGGGAGTTTCCATTGACTTCCATTCATTTCTACTGCCTAAACCTTACCCTTGTCCTAATCCTAATCCTTAAAATTACATACCTAACCCTAACCAAAACTCAGTTCGCACCTGAGTCACAAACCGAACCTGGACTCAAACAGCACAGTGTTTTCCCCTTGTGAGGACCAGGTTTCGATTCCCATAAGGAGCAGTGGGTCCCCATAGTATGTGTTAGGAAAATGGTCCCTATCATACACACTCACAACCTACAGTTCACATTTTGTAAGAGCAGTCTGGTGCATAGAATGTACCTTTCTTACCAAACTGGCATTATATTACTTCTGTTTAACAAATATCAGTCAGAGCTTCCCTTTCCCTGTAGGAGCCTGCAAATAGAGAGAAAAAAAACACTTATAGGGATCACTGCTCACC